GTGGGGACGGTCTCCTTGGTGGTCTCCTTGGTGGAGATGGTGCTGTTGGTGGTCTCCTTGGTGGAGATGGTCTCCTTGGTGGTCTCCTTGGTGGAGATGGTCTCCTTGGTGGAGATGGTCTCCTAGGTGGTCTCCTTGGTGGAGATGGTCTCCTTGGTGGTCTCCTTGACAGGGATGGTGTCCTTGGTGGTATCCTTGGCAAAGATGGTGTCGTTGATGGTCTCCTTGGCAAAGATGGTCTTGTTGATACCCTCCTTGATACTGTCCTTGAGCTTCTCATTGGCAAAAATGGTCTCCTCGGCAAAAATGGTCTCGTTGGCAGCCTTCTTGGGAGAAATGGTGAAGAACTCGTGGGGTGAGTGAGAGTGGGAGATGAGTGGCCCTGAGCAGCCCAGTGTGTCTGGACCATCCTTGGGAAAGGAGGCTCTAGTCTGGTGCCTGCTGTCTGCACACACAGGGCCCCCTCTTTCCCCTCATGGGGCAGGTTTCTAAGTGGAGGTTCATCTGTTGGGAGTTTCTGCCTATGCCTGCCATGCCAGGGTGCCTTGTATGGGCTACATGCTGCTCCCGGCTGCTGGGGATCCCTGATGACCCAGGGTGGAGAGGACCCCAAGAGCATGGGTCTAAAATTGGCCACAGTGCTGGGGGCTGAGGGGACAGGGCACCCACTGCACAAATGTGCTCTGCATTGCCTTTTCCTCATTTCAACCATCCAGGCTGAGAATTGTGAACAACACACTCCCCAAAATAAGCCTGCGCTCCCTACCAGGCTTTGGCCACCAGGTGGACTTCAACACCCAGCTGCTGGTAGAGAGCAGGTATGGCATGTCCATCTGGGACATGGCTCAGGGTGGGGGGGTCACCGTCTCTTTGGAAAGTAGATGGTCAGCAAGTTTCCTGACCTGCATGCTGTGCTCCCCCCGGGCAGTGTGCCGGGCCAGCCGCTCTGCGAGCAGGTGGAGGTGGACGTGACCATGCTGGTCCAGGACACGTGGACGGCTCACCAGAGCAACATGAACTGCAAGACTGTTGACATAAACACCCATGTGAGGTAGGAATCCGGTGTGAGGTAACACCTCTGTGAGTGGGCTGCCCGTGGCTCCTGTGGCAGTGGGACACCTTGGCGCTGTTGGCTGTCGATGGCAACGCTTTCCTATCTGACACCTTGGAGGGTGAACTACCTGGCTGAAAGGCTTGGAGGGAAACTGCCATCCTTTTTTTAAAATTTGGGCTAAGAAAAGATCATTTCGGGGTGCTGGGAACCTAGCCCTGGGTGGGATTCAAAGGGCTTGGGTTTGGTAATATTTTTGCTCTGAATATGGACAATTCAAGTGAGCCCTCATGTTTCTCTTGTGTGAAACACTTCTACTTTCCAGTACCAACCTAAGTCACTTGTTAATTCCTATTTTCTTGCTACCAGTCCCAGAGTGCCAATTCTGGATGAGCCTTTGAAACGCCTCCTTAGTGATGTCCTGAGTGATCTGGTGAGTCTGCACAGCCATCTTCACACCAGCCACCAGCGCAGTGCTGGGTGGGCAGGCAGAACAGGCAGCACGGGCAGCATGGGCAGTGCAGGCAGGGCAGGCAGTGGGCCAGGCTGCCCCATGGATGTGGCTGTTTGCACAGCTGTGGGCTCAGCTGGGGCGGTCAGCCTGTCCTCCCTGCTGAAAGACACCAGCACCATCATCTGTGCCAGACTCTGCTGGCAAACAGATTTCTGAGGCAGGTGCTGGCTTAGCAGCCACTAACCCAGGTGAGACCCACGCTGGGCCAGAGGGGCCACTCACCCACCCGATGCTGAGCTCTGTGTGACAGGATGTCCCACCCAGCACTGCCCACAGTGGCTCTGCCCACATGTGCAACCCAGCAGAGCCTGCTGTCACTGTTGGTGCCATGTCACCCACTGCTGCAGCAGGACCCTCTCACTTCCCTCTTCCTCCCCAGGGCTGCAACATCATCAATGCCAAGCTCAACGTGGTGAACTCTCTGCTTGGCTCCAGGAACCGTAAGTGCTGGCACCTCCTTTCCCTCTGCTCCCGGGGATCCCTGCACTTAGCATGGCTTGTTTTTTCACACTGGGTAAATACACATATTTTAGCAATTTTCTAAAAACACAACTCTCAGGTCAAGCCCAGCATTAAGATTCCCTACCCCTGCAGCAGTAGCCAGCTCTTCCTGCAGAAACCCACTGCAGGAACTGTTGCTTCTAGAAACAACATTTTTTTGCTACGAAATAGAGTTTTCTAGCAGCTTTTCCAGCTGGGAACTCAGTGAGCAGGAACTGCCATTGGTTCCAATAACTCTTGGGACCATGGGATTTGGGAGCACCCCCTGCCATTGCAGCTGAAGAGTTTTCTTCCCTGTGTCCACAGAGATGCTCCCACTTGGGGCTCTGGGGGACCTGCCCCCCTTCTCCATCCTTGGTAGTGACTCAATCCAGCTGGATCTGAACGTAAGTGCCACCGTGTTCCCTGGTCCCAAAACCTCTGATGTGAGTTTGGGTGGTTCACCGGAATGTGATGGCTGTTTGTCAAAGGCTCCTTGGATTCCAGCTGCCTTCAGGCACGTGTTCTTTGGAAGAGTCTGATGAGTCTGCCCCAGCCACATCCCTGCTTATGCCACTGCTGTGTCTCTACTTGATTTTTTTACCTGTTAATCCTTGATGGTGGCATGAGCCAGAACGGCTTCATGCTACTTAGCTATTAGTTAAACATAATTGTAGCACTCTCATAGTTGTTAATTAGAAAAGTTTAATTTCATGCAGGAGCAGCAGTCACTGCTCACAGGCGTGTTCTATTTATAAGTGGTTTGTCAAAGTCTGGAAATTGATAGGGACCGTAATCAGGCCCAAAATATCAGCAGTGTGTTTTTCCAGTTGGGAGATATGGCAGCATTTTAATGGGGAAGGGGTAGCAGATGCAGCCTTATCTGTGCCAGAGCAGCCTGGAGCAGCCCTATGTTCATTAAAGTGCCAACAAACCCTGTGTGAGCCTCTCCTCAAGGTCCATAGGTGGGCAGGGTGCCCTGTGCAACCCTCTGAGCACCACCAACATCCCTGTCCACTCTGTCCCGTACAGCTCCTCCCTGAGAATGCCAAGGGTGGCACAGTGGCCCCCACTCAGCAACTGCCACTCGCCGCCACCCTGCTGCTGGCCACTGGCCGCCCACCACAGCTCAGCCTCTCCCAGGACACCCTCAGCACCCTGCTGGAGCAGGTCCAGGGGCAGGGAGCCCTCAACCTCAGCATCACCAACTCGCTGATGAGCAGCCAATCCCCTCTGCAAGGCCAGGTCAGTGTCCTGGTTGCTCTTGGGTGACCCAAATGTGCTCGCTGCTGCCTGTTTGTGTTTGTGGGGTTCAGCTGAGCCCAGCGTGGGCTTGGCACAAACCCTCCTGGCCAACGATGTCACTGGTGCTGTTCCCACAGGTTCCCGAGAGCACCTCGCTGTCCGTGTCTGCCCTTTTCCCATTCATCCCCCAGGTCAGTCACCTCCTCCATGTGCATTGATTCCAAACCCTCCACCCACCCCAGCCATGCAAATACCCCCTTTCCCTGACCTTCTCTGCCCCTGCAGCTTGCCCGGTCCCTCCCTGGCTCTCTGCCACTGGAGCTGCGTGTCCGGATGAGAGATGAGCCAGTGGTGGCCGTGAGGGATGGAAGAGCCACCGTCACCCTCAAAGCCTCTGTTGACGTCCACGTTCCTGCCCTGCAGACCTCCCAGGGGCTCCTCTTCTCCGTTGACACGGTGAGTGAGCTCTGGGGGGATGAGATCCCCGGAACAGGGCAATGGCTGAGGTTGGCTGCCCGCTGGCATCCCCTTGGCTTGTCCTGCCCTTGGCTCTGCAGTATTTGTACTTTTGAATTTACTGCATCATCAAAACGGTGGTGCTCAGTCCTTTAAACACGCTCGTAACCAAGCACAAAGTGTAAGTAAAATGTTTCAGGAACAACTCAATATAAAGACAGGAAGGTGAACCCTGGGGAGAGAGACACATGATGCCATCCGTCACAAAAATGTGGCTTCTAGGCACAGACAAGTGTTTTTTCTTAGAATGAGTAATTTACAAATACACTTTTCAGTCTTGGGAGCTGTGCAGGGGAATAACCTCATTTCTTTCATTGTTCCATTTTCAGGACATTGTTCTGAACATCACCCCATCGGTCTCTGATGGCAAACTGCAAACCTCCCTGGCTCTTGACAGGTAGAGACAAGCTCTGCAGGTGGCAGGGCTCTGCCTGGGGACTAACAAATGGGGCTGGTGGCAGTGATGGGGGACTGTGATGCAGATGTGGTAGAGATGCCATGTTAGGCTGCCAGAGCCTTCCTGCTGCCTCTCAGCCCCAAACTCAGACCAAGTGCATGGCTGAAGTCATGAGACAGTTGTAAAAAAGTTACTCTATTTTCAAAATCCTGTATCTTTATGAGGGTGAGACAAATTCCAGACCAAGAAAGGGTCTGGAGGAGGAGGCTGCAGCTGATGCACCCCAACTCTGCCTTGTTTTTATCTTTTGTAGCATCAAGGTGACACGGTCCCCCCCGTCACTCAACCCTTCCGCCGTAAGTGCTTGCACTGGATCGAGGTGCTGCAGGGATTGATGCAATGGCCAGGGAGTCTGTGTATGAGAGGAAAACCCAAAAGCCAATTCTTCTTCAGTCTTCACCTTTCTTCTTCCTCTGGTAGAGGCCAATTACTCTCTGCCCTGCCAATCCCCCGTGCCCTACAGCGATGACACTTGCGTGTCTCTCTTCACTTTGTGGCAGCACAGTGGGGGTGCTGGGAAAGGGAGAGGAATAACCAAGAAGAAATTACCCCAAAAGCATGTCCCTGCAGATCCCACCTCAGTCCTGGAGGGGTTTCACTGAAGGAAGCTTCCCAGCATCTGTGTTCCATAGCAAACTGAGTAGAACTCAATTGATAACCCTAACCTCAATAACCATTGCTCTCTTGTGCTACTGACACATCTTCTTCCCTGCAGGTCCCCTCACTCACAGAATGGCTCAAACAGATCCTCACGGCTACATATGTACCTGGTGTTAATGGTACGGCGGGGTGGGGTCCCCTCTTATCTCAGACTCAGACAGATTTGGGGCTCTGCCCGTCCCCTTGCTGCCTGTGTTCAGGGTTTCCTCCCTGTGACAAGATGCTTCCACTTATTTTTGCAGACGCCTTCCATGTGTCGGTCCCTCTGCCCAACGTCCTCAACACCAACCTCAGGAACGCTGAAGTCACCATCACTGACGTAAGGATTGCATTTCCCACCACGCCGTGTCCCGGGGAGTGGGGATGTGCTCACCTGGGGTTTGGGACCTGTAGATCCCACAGCCCCACACCACCCCGGCCAACCCCATTTCCCATGGGCTGCTCCCAGTGTCCAGGAGGTCCCTCTGCTGGTGTGGACCCACAGAAAAACCTCACCTGGGGATATAGGAAAACACAGGTGAAAGTTTGAATGAGAAAACTGAGTAGTTTTTGTGCTGCGTCTTCCAGGCGGACGAGCTTCCCGGCCAGACCACTCTTGAAAGATACTGCTCGGGAGGAGCCTCGATGCTGCTCCCTTTCTGAGGCAGCACACCGTGCACCCCAAGCCTTGCTCCACTCTCTCCCTCTTCCTTTCCCTCAAGCACTGCCCTGTGCTGTGGCTGTGGCCTGAGCAAGGCCGGCGATTGCCTCTGGCTGACATCGGGGTGGGAAAGCTGCTCTGCTGGTGGATGTTAGGGTGTTTCTGGGGCCCCTTTTAACATCCACAGCTATTCCTTAGGCAGAAAGATTACTCTTGTATTGCTCTTTCAATAAAAATCTCTCATTGCCTCAGTATTTCCCTTTCTGGATATTTATTTATACGAGTTCTGGCTGCCAGCACCCGTTTGCACTGTGTCCCTCTGCCACACGGCCCACGGAGGGGTGGCACAGCAAGGTGAGGAGGCTGCACCTACAGCCAAGAACTGGTACCTTCAGAGAGCGTTTCTGAAGCTCAGCCTGTGACACCAGGTGTGAAACAGCCACTCACAGGGCCGCTGGGTTTGGTGGTGGTTGGGGCCCTGCTGCAGCCCATCTTGTGCCCGACTGATGGAGGGCAGAGAGGGGCTTGCCATGCAGCACTGGCACAGATATAGCAAAGCTCCTGCTGACATCTCCCACTCCCTTGGAGCCTTTGCTCCAGCCACTGCAGGGAGCAGTTCCTGGCCAGCGGCTTGCTGGCAGCAGATCCCACATGGTGGGATGGTGCTTGTTGTGCAAGGCTCTGTCCGGAACCAGGCATGGATAACCTAAGCTCACACCTCCTTTGTTTAGAGGCATACTATCCCCTGGTTGTGTAAGATGCACTAGGTTGCCCAAAAAAGCACATTTGATCTCACAAAGGTATTAAGTGTTGAGGGCACCTGGACAAAAGGGCCCTTATAGCCTGGAGTGGCAGGGGAGGTGTCCCAGCACAGGGACTTTTTGGAGGCTGTGGAAATACTGTCTGCTGGGAAGGAGCTGGCAGCTGCAGGGTGGGTGGGGCAATCCTCAGGAACCACTCCTCGAGGTTCCTCAAGCACTAAAGGAGAGAAAAATCTCCTGACACTTTTCCGAAGGCTCCTCATGTGCTTGCTGGAAAATTAAAAAATTCCCCCGATACGGTAACCTGTGTGTGCCAGCTGGTGTGCAAGTGCCAGCAGGGATTTCTCTGGAATAAGCTGATTTCCCAGCATGGCTCTTTCAGATCAACGCAGCCTCACTGTTACAGCCACAGAATCTTGGGCTCCTTTTCCTTCCCTTTAGCCCTGGACTCTGGGGTAACAGTGCTGCCTGATACTGGGTGTCCAATAACCTGTTGCTCAATGCTTTTCCCTGGCTTAAAAATCTTTACTTATATTGGAATGTATGAAACTTATGTAATATGTGAAAATCATGTAATTAAAATTTCAACTGGCCAGACCCCTAAAAGGAGAAAGCTCTGTGCAGGGTCTGATGGCAAGTGATGTGTCCAGCTCTTACAGGCTCCCTCGGTCAAGAACAAGTCCTCTGAGGTGTCCTGGGAGGGGTGCCACTCCAAAATGGATATCTCAGCACTGATGGAAGTGGGGACCTGCTGGGTGGCCTCAGAGGAGGTGTCCTTAGTGGTGGTGGTGGTGGTCTGCTTGGTGGTATTACTGGTGGTCTGCTGGGTGGTGGTGGTGGTGGTGGTGAAGGGCTGCTGGGAGGACTGGCTGGAGGCCTGATTGGTGGAGGGAGTGATGCTGCTGGTGGCTTGCTGGGTGCAGGGGGTGGTGGAGGTGCTTATGGTGGGGGTCCCAGAAACCCTCCCAGAGGCTGGCCAGCAGCTGGTGGCAATGTCCCCAGGGATGGCAGCCCTGTGGGGGTTGCTGGAAGAGCACAGGGACAAGGAGGTCTGCTTGGCAACGGAGGTCTCCTCGGCACAGCGGGGATCTTCAGTGGCTCTGGTGGCCTTCTTGGCAGAGCAGGGCTCCTGGGAAATGGAGGGCTGCTGGGAGGCAGCGGCCTGCTCGGCGTCCTCGGGGAAGGTGGCTTGCTCAGCACCATCCAGGGGCTCACCGGGTAAGGACAGCACTGTCCGGGTGCCTTGCAGAGGGAACATCTCAGTGCTGCTTTGGGGGAGCAATGGTGGTGCTTCGGTAGATGCTCAGGTCTGGTTTGGAGCTGATGCTTTGAGAAAAACGAGATAAAAGCTGCCTGGGAATCCTGCAGGTTTTGCATCGCAAAGGAGCCTCCTGAGCTGCCCAGGGAAGGGCAGAGGAGGCGGCAGCACGGAGGTGTTTGCCCATAGAGGGTGCACGAGCTGCGCGCTGGTGGCTGCTGCCGAGCCAACACTCCCGTCTGCAGCCCACACGATTAACTCTGCTTTGAAGCCCAGCAGAAGCAGAAAAAAATGATAAAGCAAAAGAACCAAGCTTCCAATAAAACTGGAAAATAACTAAACCAGGGAAATAACTGAGAAAACTCGGTGTCTTTTGCCGTTTCTGGTCTAACTGGTCTCTGACTCGCCCACCTCCTCAGCGTGGCTGCGTGTGAGCAGTGGAGCCGGGCTGGTTTGTGCCGGGCTCAGGGCTGTCACTTGCAGTGTCCCCCTCGCTGTCCCTGGAGGCTGAGGATCGTGGAGGAGATGCTGCCCAGGGTGTCCCTGAGGCTCCTGCCTGGCACTGGTGCCAACCTGAACCTCTACACCCGGGTGGCCCTCAATGGTAAGAGGTGGGTCGGGCTGGGGGTGGAGCTGCTGGTGGCAGTGCCAGCCATGTGCTGGGACCAGGGGAAGAACCTTCCCGGAGGGTGTCTCAGGGGGGAACACTGTTCCTGTCCCTCGAGAAGAGGCTGTTGCTCTGAAGGTCACTCCCTTCTCCCTGTGTAGCCTCTCGAGTTTGCTCGACATCACCGTGGAGGTGAACATCACAGCAAGGGTCAGGCTGACCATGGATGGCATGGGCTACCCCGAACTGGTGACAGAGAGATGTGACACGCTCCTCAGTGGCATTAAAATCAGACTCCTGAGCAGGTGAGTGACAGTGGTGTCCTCCTCTGCCACCACGAGCTCTGCCAGCCCCACCCTGAGAATGGCAAACACATGAAGGCATTTCCTTGTTATACATCTCCATCCCACCATCCCTGCAGGTGACGGCCACTCACTGGCCGTGTCACGGGGTTGAACAACGGGCTGGTGGTGATGGTCTCTGTGTGCCCCTCACACAGCCACAGAGAACAGATGTGCTCTCCCAGAAGTCCTGTGGGGCAGTTCTGTCCCGTGTGCCACGTACACAGGTCATTTTAACTGACATGGTGTGGGGTCTCCTGAGATGTGAGCACGTGGTGTGTACATTGTAGGAGCCACTCGGGCTGAGGTTGTTTCTGCTCATTTAAGGAGACTATGCACTAGTAGATAAAAGGCAGCAATAAATTTCCCACTGGCTATTTTGGGATGCAAATTACAGTTATCTCATGCAAAATCCAAGCAGAAACGATTCACTTTGCTGCTGCAATTGCCTTGCTCCGGGAGGTCTATGCTCGGCGCTATTCATAGGGAATTGTTTAACAAGACCCATTTACTTTGCAGCAGGTTGTTTTCATGGTGCTCCTTTATTTTTCCACAGCCTGCTCCCAATTGTGGATAATTTATTGGCAAGCGTCCTGAACAGACTTCTTCCTAATCTGGTAAATCAGAAAAAAACCCTGTTCTGGGAAGGAGTGATGAGTTTGAAAAGCTGCAGTGCAGCTCCCCATGGCATCGCTGTTGCTCAGAGCAGGAGCACAGTCAGTGTTCCAGGGCTGCTGCATCCACCCACCCAGTGGCTTGGGATTAGTGGGGGACACATACCATGTCTCCAGCAGCTTGGGAGAAGCTTTTCCCTCCTTCTCAACACAAGGTCTGACCAAGTGCTGGGAGTTCCTAACGGTGCTCTGGACCATGTTACAGACTAATGGAGTCTCTCCTCCCACCTGAAAGCCACAGAGTCTTTCTAGCCATCCCCCACGGAGTCCTGGGCCCCAGTCCCAACCCCACTTCTCTGAGGGAGGGCAAGGTGCCCAGGGACACACCCAAAGCTGGTGGAGTCCCTGTTGGGGCTGCCATCCCATGTGCCCGGTGCTCCCACGCCCAGGGAAAGCCCTGCAGAGCCAGGTGGGGCTGCGTGTCCTTGTCTGGCTCTGAACACGGGTTCTCACCAGCCCATCCTGACTCCTGTAGCTCTGCCTGGTGGTCGACATCACCCTGAGACTTGTCAATGACCAGCTGGAACTTGTGAACTGTAAGGACATGATGGGTCCCACGTCTCATCACTGCCCTGCACCACGTGTCACCTCCGCTTCAGCTGTGGGAGGACTGGGACACCCTTTGCTCTGCCACTGCACCTTGGGGGGAAAGAGCAAACCCCTCACTTCACCCTGACCCCAGATCTGCCCCATGCCAGGAGCAGGGACCTCCAGCAGCTCCCTGGCTCTTCTGGAAAAAAAGGAGCTGCCGGGCAATGAAGGGAGGATTTGCAGCTGAGTCCAACAGGGAAACACAGACACTCCCTTCCTCTGTCCCCAGCACTGGTGCCCCTGGGTTTGCTGGGCAGCATCCAGTACACTGTGTTCAGCCTTCCCCTGCTAACAGGCCAGTTCCTTGAGGTGGACTTGAATGTGAGTCCTGCATCTTCTCCTTCCATCTATGCACAGGGGTTGGGATATTTCCCTTGGGTTCAGGAGGGACTCCTTGGGCTGTGTACCCCTGAACAGGGGACTCCAAGGTGAGCTGTGGAAGTTGGCAGAGGTCCTGGCTCTGTGCCCTGCTCTCACCACTGTCATGGGAGAGCGCAGCAGGGTTTGGGTTTCATGAGTTCTGGAGAAGGAAGTGTCACGGGCCTGACTTGGCAAGGCCATGCATGCAGCCATCTCACACTGAGGGAATATGAAGTTAACTGTAACAGCAAATATTGCAAACATTTTGACCTGTGTTTCCTTTCCCTGTGATTCCAGACTGTTGTTGGGGGAGCAGCTGGAGGCCTGGTGGACTATCTGCTGGGAAAGCCAGAGACTGTCTCCAAACCCCCATGGGTCCCCATACCACCCTTGCCACCCATGGCAGACACGAGCTCCTCCCAACTGGGCCTCTCAGTGAACTTCCTCAGCTCAGTGCTGGCTGTCCTGCAGGTGGAGGGTGCCCTGGACCTGGACATCTTCACTGGCATGGTGAGAGGGGAGCACTGCCCAGATCTGGAAGGACCGGGGGCTGTCAGACAGGCAAGGTGAGGGCTTGTCCCACTGAGTGATGCTGTAGGACCTCTGAACCATGTGTCAGGGTCTCTGCTACCTTGGGCAAATGTGCGAGTGAGACCATGTGGCTAAAGTATCATTAGCAAAAACAGCTGCTGCTGAAACCCACCATACACACGTGCAGTGTTTCACAGTCACAGGATCATTAAGGTTGGAAAAGACCTCCAAGGTCGTTGAGTCACACCAATCTCTCTCTTCTCTGTCCCAGTTTCCTGAGCTCCCACCACTGACGACGTGGACACTTTGAGCTCTGGTTCTTGTGGTGAGTCCTGGGTGCCACCCACACTGCAAATAACCTGGTAAGAGAAACAGCATCACCTTGGTGTGGGGCTGGCTGTTTGTGTTCCCTCAGCCAGGACAAGGTGCTCTCCACAGGGCTCAGAGCATCCCTGGGTCTGAGCTCACAGCCAACATGAGTTCACCCCAGCCAGCTGAGGTACAGACAGCTGCTCTGGGGCTGGCTCACAGTTACCACAATGCTCAGGGGATGCTCTGGGGTCTGCAGGGAGGAGAGGGGGGGAGAAAGAGGAGTCACAGATCTCTACCTCTGCCTGGCTGCCCTGGGCTGGCACAGGTGCTGTTGGCAGAGCCCATCACCATCCACACCATGGCCATGGCCACACCAGCACCTGAGACACTCCTGGCCCTGGTGACTGCCCTCAGGGGGAACTGCAGTGGGGCTGGGTGTGCAGGAAGATTTGTTGTTGGGGGTTGTCGTGTGCCAGCATGCTCCTGCTCTGCTCTGGGTCAGGTTGGGAGAGCAAATTGAGAGAGAACATGTGTATCTGTGAGCAGCCTCTTGAGCCACAGCCCATGCCCTGGCCACAGCCAGGGCCATGTTGAGGAACCACATGGCACTGGGCTGGATGGGGCCTGACCCAGAGCATCCCCGGCCCAGGGATATGAGCCCCTGCCCAGCACTCAGGGCTGGCAGGGGGTTGCCTGGCTTCACCCTCAGTCCTGGCACATCTCCCCAGGCATGCACAGGGTGTGGGACGGGAGGAGCCCTTGGAGCAGGATGGTAGTGAGCCTGGAGATCCAGTGGGCACTACGCCCAGCCCCAGATGAGGGGCTGAGCTGCCAGGCTGGCTGGGTGCTGCTGACCACAGCCTGGCACTGCTACATGCAGCACTCGGGGTCAGGCTGGTGCAGGAGTCACACTTCACAGCCAGCAAAGAGGAAATGTCCCTGCTCCATCCTTCCCTGGGCTTTCCTCATTCCTCACGTCGGGTATATAAAAGCCACTGCCAGCAGCTGTGACCGTGGGCAGCTCCACTGTGACATCAAAGGGTCCAGGTAAGTGGCACTGAAGGACCGTGGCCACCGTGCCAGCTCCATCAGGCAACCCACAGCTCAGTGTAACTCGGCTTGAAAAGCAGGAATTTTAATGATGTTTTCCTTTGATTTCTGTAGCAGCATTTAATCATTTATGAAAATTAATTTTTAAAGCTAGCAGAGATCTTCCTTGTTAAACTCCACGTTTATTCCTGTTGTTGTTAAGTTTGTGATAATGACTAAGCTGGCAGAAAAGGACTGGGAGTTTTTTCATGATCTCGGTGACCAGAATTCAGAGCAATTTTCAGCTTTCCAGACCTCGTCTCGGCTGGTGTAAAATAAGTGTTTATCTGCAAAGCCAGACGTGCCTTTTGCATGTGCAAGATGCTCAGCTCGCTGAAATGTGTGTGACCAAGGAGCAGCACCCCGATAGATATTTCTAATAACCGCAGAGATAGCTGCCTGCTTGGTCACGTATTCTCTCTAAGAGCTCTTCTAAGAGCCCTGACATCCATTTTGGCACCCTTTTTCAATGCTGTGCACGTCTCACAGAGCCCCTCCAACAAATCCCACTGATTTTATTTGACACGATTTTCAATAGAAGCTGCTCGAGCCTCTCTCCTTCTCTCCTGTTCAATAATCGTGGCTACAGGAGCTGTGCATCATTACGTGCTGATCAAAGGGAAAATGTAAAAGACAGTCGAGTGAATTAAAGTCTAATTTAATTGTGCCTAGAACTGTCATAGAGGGATTTTTTGAAAGTATCTGGAAGAAACAAAGGAGTTGTTCAGTCTGACCTAAATAATGTTATTTCTCAATGCTGAACCTCTGCAATCTGCACCTCGTACCTTTTTTTTTCTCAGGAGGGACGAGCCGGGGTTTCCATCTGGGACACAGGCTGTGAAGGCAGGTGCTCCTGGAGCTGGGACCCACGGCAATACTGCAGCAGGAGCCTCCTCTCCTTTCTTTGCAAACACCTTTCTGTGCATAAACAAACACTTCCCAGCCTGCATTGTCACCCCGAGAAGCCGAGTTTGGGCAGGAACAGAAGGTCCTTGAAGGTGCGTTCTTTTGGCTTGGGGCAGATCAAACACGGGGAAAACGGGCTCTTCTGACTGCCTGAGTGAAGCAAGATGAGAAAAACAAACAATCTACCCACAGGAAAGTGAGTCTGATTCTGGCTGTGCTTTGGGCTTTAATAACTCAGGGTGCTCTTCACAGTGGGCAGAAGGACACTGCTGAGATGCTCATCATTTTTTATCCGGCCGTGCCCCTCTGAGAGTTCCACTTTCAGGACCATTTCAGAGCGGTGGGAAGCCATCTATCTCTCTCAGTACAAGGTCCTCCTCCCTCATCTCCATCCCTCTTCCTCTCTTAAAATGGCATTTTCGCTTCCCTGCAGTATCAGGCGCCCAAGTCTGCAGTGTGGGAGCCCAGACATTGATGGTTCTGGAGCAGTGCAGCACTGGGCTCCAGCTACTCTCTGCTAACCAGTAGTGGTTCAACCTTTCTGGGTGGGAAGAAGGTGCTGCAGGCCTGGACTGATCCCCTGGGATCTGGGGGGGGTGTGGGGGTGTGGTTTCTGGAAGCTGAATGTCCAGGGGGAACCTCCCCCATCACCCCAGGACAGTGCATGTGAAGAATGGGGAGCTGTACCAGTACCCAAGCTGCCTGTACCCATGTGCAGGAACTGGTGCATGGGCTGATGTGGCTCTTTCCACAGATGCTGGGTCAGGAGATGCCACACTTCTGGTGTCTCATCCTTTTCGTGGGCCTCCTGCCCTCCTCCCAGGGCTTCCTCAACCTGCTGAACCCAAAGCAAGCCGCAGGTGGTGAGTTCAGATATTTTCTGTGTTTCCAGGGGAGGGACATGGCACAGTCCTGTGCCATTTTAGGCTCATGGCGTGTCCCTCTGGTCATCAGGGAGATGCTTCCTGGCAGGATCATCTCTGTGGGGAACCCAGCTTTGTTCAAGGATGCTCAGGGATCCCTATGAGACCTCACCAGCAGAGCAACCTAACGTAGCCAAATCAAACTTTCTTGTCAAAGGAATCTTCCCAATGGTGGAAGTCTGATTAGTAACTGGGACTCCCTTGGTGCAGGTCTGCTTGGTCTCCTTGGTGGAAAAGGCGGATTGCTTGGCACTGGTGTTCCTGGTGAAGGTGGGCTGCTTGGCACCGGCCTCCTGGGCAAGGGAAGTGCAAGTGAAGCAGAAAGCGGAGGTCCCCTTGAAGCAGGAAGTGAACCCAGCAGATCTGGGGTCCTTGGCACAGGCCTCCTAGGTGAGGAAGATCTGCTTGGCACGGGCGTGCTTGGGAGAGGAGGGTTTCTGGGCAGTGATGGCCAGGACAGTAACAGAGTTCTGACTGTTGCAGGAGGACAACCTGGCAGCAGCAGTCTGCCTGGCACAGGCATCCTCGGTGGGAAAGGCCTTGGCACAGGCATCCTTGGTGGAGAAGGACTTGGCACGGGCATCCTTGGTGGAGAAGGACTTGGCACAGGCATCCTTGGTGGGGAAGGACTTGGCACAGGCATCCTTGGTGGGGAAGGACTTGGCACAGGCATTCTTGGTGGGGAAGGCCTTGGCAATGGTCTCCTCGGCAATAACAGCCTTCTTGGAGATAAAGGTCTGCTTGGCACAGGGCTGCTTGGGAAAGGAGGTCTCCTAGGCAACGGAAGTCTACTTGGTCTTGATGGTCTTCTGGGTGAAGCAGGAGGACTTCTGGGTGCAGGAGGCCTGCTGGGTGGTAGAACCTCTCAGAAGATATCACGCTACGCCTGGTGAGTCAGAAGCCCCATGGTGGGGCTCACTGCAGGGTGACCAATAGTGTCCAGGGGATCAGACCCTCCCTGTCATACAAACCGCCAGTCCTGGGCTCACACGAGGATCTGTGACAGGGGAAATTCCAACCAGAAATGGGAAAAGTCTTCCCCATCGGAGTGCTGTGACACTGCAATGGGCAGTCTGGGAGGTGGGGGAATCTCCGTCCTCGGAGGTGGTTGAGAGCAAGCAGGACACAGCCCTGAGAAACCTGACCCTGCTTTGAGATTGGCTTTTCTTGGAGCAGGGGTTGCTCCTTCCTCACCTTCACTTTTACCTGAGAATATCCAAATGGGTAACAGGTCAAACAATGAGCGGGAAGAGATGGGACTGTAGGATCTGCTCCTGCTGATCCTGCCATCTCAAGGTGGGTTTGATTCGGTGTTGACCCCCAGGTTGAAGGTGCTGAACCTCGAGAACGCCCGAGTGTCATGGAAGGTCCTTCGTGGGACTGAGCTGGTGCTGAACCTGTACTCGAAGCTGGTGCTCCGCTTTCCAGGGTGAGCAGGGCTGGGGAGTGAGGCCTCGGGGGCCTGAGGGCACTGGGGAGGATGGGACACTCCCTGCTGCTGGAGAAACATCCCCACGTGCTGAGCAAATGGGCTGGTGAGGAAAGCTCTGGGCTGTACTGCTGCCTCTCCCTGCAGCCATTTCCAGCTGTCCTTACTCCAAACTGTTGCCTGAAGTGTTCAAAAAACCTGTGGATATGGCACTAGAGGACATATTTAGTGGTGAACATTCTGGTGGTGCTGGGTTGATGGTTGGACTTGGTGATCCAGAGGTGTTTTCCAACCTTAATGATTCTATGATTCTGTGATCTGCTACAGGACCAGGAACCTGGCAGAAGTCCCAAGACTAAAGCACTGTACCAGCCAAGCCTGTGTTGCAGCTCCTGCGCTGCTTCTGTTCCCCCCATAACCCTCCACGCTACTCCCCTTTTTTCCAGGATTTTTAGCTTTCTGAGTGAATCCTCGGTAGAAACGAACATCACGTCACACATCGCCGTGACCCAGGACACCCCCGGGGACCTCAAGCTGGTGATTAAGGATTGCAAGAACCTGCTTGGCGGCTTCAGCGTCAACCTGCGGAAGGGGTGAGTGTGTGGGTGAGCTCCTGCAAGTTTGCAGCGGGGCGGAACTTCAGTGTCACAGACTGACACCATAACAACCAGATTATGGGATTCAGATAACCAAGTCCTGAGCATCTGCAATTCCTGCTAAAGCCTGGGGGAGCTGTGGGCTTGCGGCATCTTTTAATATAAGAGGACACAAGAGGAGAGGGGCTCCTCCACAGCCGCTGTTTTGTCTTGATGTCAAGTCCTAGGTTTTGACAACTTCCCTGGTAATTTTTGTGTGTCCTTTCCCTCCCCAGCCTCCTCACCAACCTGGTGAGCAGCATGCTGAACTCTACTCTCAAGACCCTTGTCCCTGCGCTGGTGAGTGTCTGAATGTTCTTTGCTGTGAAGATGCATCTCAGCTGCAATCAGTGCTCCTGCCAGAACTCTCTGGAAGATTTACACACATACACACACACACACATACACACACAGAGGATCACAGAACAGCTTGGGTTGGAAAGGACCTTAAAGATCAGTTATTCCAACCCCCCTCCCATGGTCAGGGATGATATATATACACAATATATATACAATATATATTTATGCCTGCAGCCCATACTTGAATTCCACAAAATTCCTTGATCTTCCTTACAGTCAGAATTTATTTATTAGGAGTAATTTCAATTCCATCATGCAATGTTATGGGATAATTTGTACTCAGCTGCTCCCTGGGGGGAGATGAGCAGAAGCGACAGCCCCACTTAGAGCAAAGGGTTCTGTTAGAGAATCTCTTGTCCTGTTCAGTAGAACCTGTGCTGTTTTAAGAAGAGGGCTGAACAAGTCATATGGCTCTTTTTCCATGGAGGAACTGTGCTCTAGGAGCCTGTTGTTCCATCCTGATTAAGTCTGTGAAACTCAAGCCATGTTGGGGAACATGCTGCTGCACCCACAGTGTTCTCACCAGGGCTGTGCCACTTGTCGTTGCAGCTCTGCCCGTTAGTGAACATCTGGGTCAGCATCATCAACATGAAACTACAATTCCTCAACCGTAAGTCATTTTCTTTTCTATATTGAGTGACACTTGGGTTTTGTGTGTCCAACCACCTCCACGGGCAGCAGGAGTCCCGAGGAGAGCTGAATTCACGGGAGCAGGAGTCTCTCTGCATGGAGCAGGAGCAGCTTTGCTCCACCAGCAAAGCCACTGCGGGTGGCACAGTCCTGGCTCACCACCACTGCCAGGCACCACAGTCCTGCTCTTCTCATGGGTGTTTGTCCCACCAGGGACAGACTCAAGCTGCTGCCAAGAGGTGGCTCTGCCAGGACCCTCCACTGCAGCCCTGCAGAACCTGTGGGGTTTTCCTTCCCGGGATCTGTTCATGTCACATCTCACACAGACATGATTGCTGCTTCACTGCAAGCAGAGCTGTCCCCATTTACTCCCATTGTAAATGTGATGTGC